GGCCGCGGAATTCCGGCGTGTGGCTGGGTGTGCCGAGCGCGTAGGCCCCCTGGTCCGCCGCGGGTACCCGGCCGCCCTCTGGAAAGTGAAGCTTGGAGGTGGTGGGGACGGTGTGGGGGTACCTTTTGCTTTTCTCCTCGCACCCAAAGTTTGAGGGTAACGTCCCGCTCCTGCCGCGGCAGCCTGGGCGGCCCGGAGTCCCAGATCCCGTTCCTCCCTTCCGGGTGGGATTCTTGGGCGAGATACGTGACTTTTGACAAACTGGCGAAATCGCAGAAACTCTGCAAAGTAGTTTGCAACCTCTTGGCATGCACGCCCAACGTTCAGCCGACTTGGTTCAATTTTTAGACCGCAGCATGGTTTTTAAAGGGTAAACGACCCACATCTTTTTTTTTTTTTTCCTATGAAAAAGTCATCCATTCTTACTAATATTTCTTAATGTGCACCGAAAGTAAGGACCGGAGCTCATCGCCTATGAGTTTGGGAAGTCACCAGGGGGAAAGGCTCCCTGCTGAAGCAGAGGTGAAAACCAACATGCAAATGTGCTACCTCACTGAGGGGCAGGATTCTAACTTTCCAAAATACCTATTAGGTAATAAAATAATAGTAAGATCATTGGATACTATTCTAGGATTTTTAGGGAAAACTTTCTCCCTCAAATGTTTGCTGTAATGAAAGTAAATAAAAGCACAGGCAATGCAGGCTCAGATAATAAGTAAAAATTACCATAAGTGGGAACTGTATTAAAATTATAAAATTAGTATCTGGAACAACTCAGACCTCTCATATGGCTTGTCTAATTGCATTTGGGAGAGTTTATGTCTTTACTTAGTTACTTTTAGGTTGATTCTTATGGATATAAAACAAAAAAAATTATTGAACTTTCTTAGCATCTTTATTGATATTTGAACTTTATTGCTACCACTTTTACTCCAAAGAGCAATCATAGACCCGAGAATTGCGGAAAGTTAGAAGTCCAAATGAAGCAAAGAATCTAGTGGAAAGAACATGGAAACATCTTTCGAATTTCAGCTGCTGAACACAGATGCAGCAAGAGCAAGTATTATTGTTTTCTTGTTTATTTAAACCTATACGGTCTGTGTCCCGGGTGTCAGGGACCTTTGCTTTGTAAGGTAATAGGCACAGGTTTTAGTGAAAAAGCGTGGAACTCTTTGGGTGGCCATTATGCTGCCTAGCACAGTCCACCCTCTGTACCCCAAAGATTCATATCTGGTCACATGCAAAATCCCTACCCCAAACCCCAAAATTATCTACACATTACAACACATCATTTAAATCTCCAAAGTCCCAAATCAAGTCATCTAAGTTAGCTTTATATAAGGCTCTGCGTATAATCCATACTGGGACAAAATTTCTTTCCATCTTTGGACCCACAAAGCTAGAGAATGAGTTCTCTTCTTCTAAAGTGCATTGGTAGAATGGGCATAGGGTAGCAGTGAGAGCCATTCCTATTCAAAAAGGGAGAAGAGGGAAGGAAAAAAGGAGTCACCATTCCCAAACAATTGCAAAATCTAATCAGGCCATCTCTATGAAATCTCAAGGCCTAGCCAGTTAAGTCTCTGGTTCTTCGTTCTACTCTCTGGACACCAGGAATGAGAGCTGGGACAGGTACGAAGGGCCATTATACCACATGCCATAGTCGTCATTCTTTTCATTAGATTCACTTTTTTTAAAATTAATCTTCTGTAGTAATGGCTTTTTAGCACTAACATGTCTCCATTAGTCCATTCCATAATCCCATTTACACAAACACTTGAGTGGTACTTGACGTGCTCGCCTATTTTTTTTTTCTTTTTATATTTGCTATAGGGCTTGTACATTCACTGGTGAGAAAGAGAGGGGGAAATGAGAAAGCACTCCTTGGGGGGAGGGTGATGGCCACAACACAATCCCTTCTCCATTCTCCTCTCCAGATTTTGGGCAAGCATGAACACATGCCTGGCATGATTTTCAAGCTGCTGGGTCTGGGACTTGAACTGTGCAGTCAGCCATATAGGATCCAGCTACCATAATCACTATGCCACTGACTGGTCCAACACTTATCATTCTAAGAAACTTTATTTTAATTCATTTAATAGGAAATGCAAATATGCCATCTAATTTCCATCTGATGGAAAAGAAGACTCATTTTTATACACAGATCAAATGATCATATATGCAATTCATTTAATTTAAATTTATTGATAGCTTTTACGACCAAAAGTCCCTTTCTTGTCTTTAATTTTATGGGATAGGGCAAATTTTACAACTTCTAAGGTCATCACCTTCACCCTTTAAGGATGTTGGAAGTCCATTTCTGCCTCCCAGCAGGTGGCAGCAAATCAATACTTGATAAGGTGTAGTAAAATCTGTGCTTTTCTTGTCCTGGTAAATGTTTGAGATGTTGCAGACTGGCTTTTCTTAACTAGAAGAGCAAAAAGAAGATTACAGCCAGATTGTGGGGATTTGTATCTGTTTATCAGCTGGTTGGGAGAGCATAGTTCATTTATGTGACTAAATTTTTACCTTGTAGCCGTATTTATATTGTTCTTCATTACTCATCTCTCACAGAACCAAAAGTCGTTTCTAAGTCATTCTGTTGGATAACAGTAAAGCTTACATGTTATAATCCGTGAATATATACACCCTCCATGGCCACTGATTGGCTAATACTTAGTAGTATGACATTTCAAAATTTATGGAATATTGCCAAAGTGTTCTTAGAGGGAAATTTATAGTTTGTGCCTTTATTAGGAAAGAAGAAAGAATGAATCAGTGACCTAAGTCGGGGTGAACAAACTGGCTCAAAGGCCAAGTCCAATGTACAACCTGCTTTGTACAGTCTCCTAAACTCTAGCAAAACTAACGAAGAAATAGAGACAAATTACTAGTATCTGGTCTGCAAGGACACTAATGATTCTGCAATCATTAAACCTTGGTCTCAAGCAGAGGCGCGTTGTCTCCAGGGTACATTTGGCGATATCTGGGGACATCTTTGGTTGTCCACAGCTGGGAAGGATGCTATCAGTGTCTAGTTGGTGAAGGCCAGGCAAATAGCTAAGTACTCCACAGTGCTCTGGACAGCACCCCATGGCCCTTTTCCAGCCTCAAACATCAATATTTAATGCTGAGGTTGGAAAATGTTAATTAAAACTATTAAAGGGGAACCATAAACAAATTTAAACTGATAAAATAAAAAACCTAGATGAAATACATGAAGTCCTTATAAAAATAGAACTAAAAACTGACTGAAGAAATAGAAAATCTGAGTACTTGGGCCAGATCCGTGGCCTGGTGGTTAAGGCAGCTGGATCTCACATGGCTGACTACACAGTTCAAATCCTGGACCTGCAGCTTGAGACCCACACCAGCGATGTGTGCATATGTGCCAAAAATCCCAAAAGGGTGGAGAAATGGAAAAGGAGGGATTGTGGTATGACCATGCCCCATTGGGGAGAGGGTGGGAGAGTGCTTTCTCATTTTCCCTTTCTTTCTCTGTCTCTCTCTCCAGCAAGCACATACACCCAGAATTTGAACCCTTAATTTAAAAAAAAAAAAAAAAAAACAAAGAAAACTCTAGACACAGAAGGTTTCAATGGTGAATTCTATCAAACATTTAAAGAATACATAGTATCAATCTTATATAAAGTCCTTCAGGAAATAGAGAATAATAATAGCATACCCCATCTAAGAAAAATCTGACAAATATATTAAAATATCACAGACCAATATTGCTAACAGATATAGATGCAAAATTCTCACATGAAATACTAACAGATTGAACACAGCAATACAGGAAAAGGATAAAATACAATAGCCAAGGAGAGTCGATCTCAAAATGCAAGCTTGCCTAGCATTTATAAATCAAACAATGTAATTTACCATATTACTGAAATAAAGGAGAAAAAAATTGTATGATCATCTCAATAAAGGTAAAAAATCATTTGAGAATTGATTGACAACTCTGATTAAAGCAATCATAAAATTAGAAATAAAAGAGAACTTCACTTTATAAAGGACATTGATGGAAGACCACTAACTACTATCATGCTCGGTGAAATATTCAATCCTAGGGAGCCAGCAGTTGGTGTAATGGCTATGTTACTGAACTCCCATGTAGTCGGCCTCAATTTGAGTCTGGACCTGGTGGCTTGGACTCCTGCTGGGCGCGTGTACATGCGTGCCCAAGATTCCGAGAGGAGAATGGAGGAGAAGGGATTGCGGCATGGCCACCCCTGCCGCCCCAGGGTGGGTGATTTCTCATTTTCTGTCTCTCTGTCTCTCTCTGTTTTTTGGCAAGCACATGCCCTATAGCAAAAATCTCTCCCTCCCTCAAAAAATAAAATTCAGTCCTAGGACTGGCCCAAGGCAAAGCTGTTCGTTCTCACCACTTCTACTCAGTTTTGTATCACAGATTCTAGTGTAATATATAATTTAAATAAAAGGAATAGAAGCCAGTGGGTAGTGTAGTGATTAAGGCACTGGACTCCCACTTAACTATGGTTTAAATCCCAGACCCTGTGCCTTGAAATTCATGCCAGGTGCATGTGTGCATGCATGCCCAGAATTCCAGGAGGAGAATGGAGGAAAACAGATTGCAGCATGGCCTTCCCCTCTGGGGGTGATTTCTCACTCTCTCTCTCTCAGCCTCTCTGGTGAGTGTACACAACCTATAACAAAAATACTCTCTTAAAAAAAAGTAAAATTACCTCTCCTCACAGTAATTTGTGTAGAAAATCTATTTTAAAAAATTAATTCTAGGGACCAGCAGTTAGCATAATGGCTGTGTCGCTGGACTCCCATGTAGTCGACCGTGGTTCACGTCCCGGACCCGGTAGCTTAAACTCACGCCAGGCGCATGTGCATGTGCACCCAAGATTCTGAGAGGAGAAGGGATTGTGGCATGACCATCCTCCCTGGGGGATGATTTCTCACTTTCTCTCTCTCTGTCTGGCAAGTGCACGCGCCCTAAAAAAAAAAAAAAAAAAAAAAAACTCTCAAAAAAGAAAAAAAATTAATTCTAAACTTTCTGTGTAGAAAATCTTCAAAATCTAGCATTAACAGAAAGTAGTGAGATATTTGGATAAAAGCTCAGTATATAAAAATCAGTATTTCTTTATACCAACAAGCAGAGATTGAAAAGTGAAATATTGAAATATACTACTTATAATAGTATTACAAATACCTAGAACTGAATTGAATGAAAGACATGCAAGAGCTAAACCCTGAAACTACAAAACATTACTGAAATGAAAGAAGATCTAAATTTGGGCCAGCTGGTGGTATGGTGGTTAAGGTGGCTAGATTCCACATGACCTACAGTATGGTTTGAGTCCCAAACTTGGTGGCTTGGAACTCACACCAGGCACGTGTGCATGCATGCCCAAAATCTTGCGAGGAGAATGAAGGAGAAGTGATTGTGGTTTGGCCATTCCCCCGGGGGAGGGGGGTGGGGGGGCAATTTGTTACTTTCTGTCTCTCTCTATATATATTTCTTTGTCTCCCTGGCAAGTGCACGTGGCCTATAGCAAAAGTCTCTCTAAAAAAAAAAAAAAGAAGAAAGGAAAGAGAGACAGAGAGAAAGAAAGAAAAGAAAGAAAAAGACAGAAAGACAGACAGACAATCATGCCAGGCACCCATGTGTGCATGCTTGCCTGAGAGGAGAATGGAGGAGAAGGTATTGTAGAGTGACTATCCCCCCTTGGGGGTGATTTCTCATTTTCTCTCTGTCTCTCTTTCTAGTGAGTACATGCACTCTATAGTGAAACTAAAAAATAAAATTTAAAAGAGCTAAATGAATGTGGAGAGTTGTGTATTCATGCACAAACGAAGAAAAACATACACTGAGCTCTGAATATATGTCTCAATTACTTTAGAAGGATCCACCTCATACAAAATAACCTCTGTGGCCACAATGAACATAGAAGTCAATAATAGAGAAATCTCTGGAAAATCCCCAAATCTCAATAATCAAAGGCATAGATTTTCCAGACCACTGATCTCAAAGTTCAGATTGATGCTGAAGACGTTTTTCTTCTTTGCACAGCTAGTCTGTTTAGT